GTGTCAGTACAGCAGACAATGTCACTCTCCAACAAGTTGGATGACTGCGAAGAAAGTCTAGATATTGCTTATCCGAAATTACTTGTCGCGGATTGGCTACAATCCATTTTCGAGTTTCTACTGGAAAGGGCGAAGCGGATATTGGCCAATCAGATGTCTCGGCTCTATTTGTGCTCGATTGAACGAACCATGCAAAATTGGGAAATATGAAGAAAATCGACAATAATAGGACAGTACTAAGTAGTACTCCAGACCATGTTGCAATTTTGGAATTACTGCACGGCTTGGGCGGAGGTCACTATTATTGGACGACGAGACGGTTGTATTGATTGGGTCGCCGACGTGCAGTACATATAACGTTAAGACAAAATTCAACCCCGAGATTGGATGCCCGACAAATTATTTAAGTCCAATTGGTCAGTATTTTTTCCGATAATCCCATTAGACGAGGGCGGTTGTCGTCAGTCCGACACATTTTTTTGTGCTAAAAAATGTGTCGGACTGACGACAACCGCCTCGTCTAATACTAGTACTTTCCTACTACGTAGTATCAATAGTACTGTTCTACTTGCATGGTTGACGGCATATTGTAGACAGTACAACAGTTGACCTGATACATATTTCGCCACAAACGGGCAAGTCTCGTGGTACCCAGCTCGAGAGTAGTATATTTGGAAGTTAAAAAGTCGCTCCGTTGGATCGCCAATGCGTTGGGACGCAGCGATAAACTAGTCCGAACATATGTTGCAAAGCTCAAGGGTAGCCCCCGAATCCAAGAGACCACGCACAAAACTGACTCGACGAGAGGTTCGACGAATTTTCCGACTCGCCACACGCAAGGGAATGTCGTCTAGACAGATCCCAGCAGCAATAAGCGGCAAAGTAACTCAAAGTGCGTCTATAGTTATGACTCACCCAAAAATGTGAAAATTGAATTTCCTCCCACACACAAATGAAGGAAATCCTTTCGTGGAGTTCCGGTAGAATTACATTTTCAAGGATGTTGACATTGATCGTTTCCAGTAAAAGGATGAGATACGACATTTTCTTGGGTGTGGCTAGTTTTCGGTGCGTCTCTAGTTTTGTGTCGGACTGACGACAACCGCCTCGTCTAATCGGATTATCGGAAAAACTACTGTCCAATTGGAGCTGGAGAGTTATTGGTCTCATTTTGCATTTTCCATTGACCCATCAACATCATGGTTCAGTACCGATTTTTGGCCCTCGCCGCCGCCACGACCGCTGTCACGGCCAAGATCTCGGTCGAAGTGCACCGCAGCTTGGAAGTCGCCAAGCAGTCGAACATCAGGGTCAAATTTCACTGTGGCGAGGCCCACGCGAACCACCGCCGCCGACTCAAGGCCGGCGCGTCTCGCACCGAAACCGTCGAGTCGGTGGTTCATTCGTTGAAGGAGCACACCAGGACGTCTCAGGCGCCGGTCAAGTTGCTCCTGGCCAACCAATCGACGGCTGTGGAAGTGGACACGACATGGATCGACTGCTCCATGTACATCGACAAGGCCACCAACGACCTCATCATGGAGATCGACGCGTTGGAGGTAGTCAAATCCATTGACAAGCCAGGTGTCAAGGCACTCGATGAATCCAAAAGCGACGACGACCAACCAGCCAGTGCTGTCAATGAGACCATCGCATGGGGGATCAATACGTCTCAAGCGCCGGAGCTGTGGGCCAAAGACATCAAGGGCGACGGCATTGTCGTGGGCATCATCGACACTGGTGTTCGACACACCCACGAGGCGTTAAGGTCGAACTGGCGAAAGGAATACGGTTGGTTCGACCCGTATGATAACACGGAGTTGCCCCATGATTATAATGGCCACGGCACTGGTGTCACGAGCATCATGGTGGGAAAGGAAGGTATTGGTGTCGCCCCCAATGCCCAGTGGATTGCGTGCAAAGGGTTGGCGCTAGGGTACAATATACGTCTGGTGATGAAATGCGCTCAATTCCTTCTTTGCCCCCACGACAGAAACGGCAACAACGCCGACTGCAGCAAGGCGCCGCACGTGATCAACAACAGCTTTGCGAAATATGAATTGGAATTTTGGATGGAAGATACGATTGCAGCGTGGAGAGCAGCGGGTATCATTCCCGTGTTTGCGAACGGCAACGACGGCGCTAAAGGCTGTGCGCATTCGGGTTATCCTGCCGCGTCCCCTCAAGTGATTGCTGTCGGCGCCACTGAAAGAAATGATTTTGTACGGAGAACGTCCAGTTTTGGACCTTCCGTGAGGAACAGCATCAAACCCGACATTTCGGCTCCTGGTGCCGACATCCGATCCGCATCAAACGTCAGTGACGTAGACTATTTGTCGAATTCTGGCACGAGCTTCGCCGCGCCTCATGTTTCTGGAGCTATCGCCTTGTACTTGTCTGCAAACAAAGGCGCCTCGTACGACGAAGTGTACACGGCCCTGGCCAACAACGTGGACACGGACACGTTAACTGTGCCCAACAATATCTGCGGTGAAAAAATTCCCAACGCGCAATATCCCAACAACATATATGGGTACGGCCGATTGAACATCTTCAAGGCCGTGAATGCTACTCTCCCGAATTGTACCTTGTGGACCGACGACTTCGAGGTCATTGGGAAGGAGGTCAAGAATGTGTCCCAAAGCACCGCCGGCAACTGCTGCGACGAATGCCGCAACACTCCAAACTGCAATGCGTTTACGTTTACGCGGGACAACGGAGGCACGTGCTGGCTCAAAGCTGAAAACAAATCGGTCGACTGGGTGTACAAGAAAGGCTCCAAGTCCGCACGAGTACTGAAACCGAACAATGACCTAACCTCGTGTGGCACCTTGGAAGAAGACGTGACCTATGGTGGGCCCACCGTGGCTGTTACCTATCAGGCCAAAGCTGAATCCTGCTGCGCCGACTGTGAAAATATAGCGGGATGTAAGCTGTTCGTGTGGTACGGCGGTACTTGCTGGCTCAAGTCCGCCAAGGGGGCCAAGGGGTTTACTAAAGGGGCCAAGTCTGGATCGCTGCCTACTTCCAGCGCCTGCGCACCCATCGAGTTGAACGTGAATTACGTCGGCCACGACATCAATTTCACGAATCAGACCTCCGCCGATGCGTGCTGTGGAGACTGTCAAGCGACGTCTGGGTGCAAACTGTTTGTGTGGTCCCGTGGCATGTGCACTCTCAAGTCCGCCATGGGGACCAACGAGACTGTGGATGGGGCCAAGGCTGGCTTTCTCCTGGCAGGACAGGCATCGTAATGGCGTGTGCTTCCTAAAGAGCTACAAGGGAGCTTCTCAAGCCAACGCTACTTTAATTTCTGCTGTGGTGATTTAACGCGTGGTCTGATACATATCTGCATATTGGGTTTTGAATAATTGAGTAATCTATGGATCAGTACATTGAGTGACCAAGCATCAAGTACAAAGTTGACAGCGTGAAA